AGTGAAGAGGCGCCCAGAGGGGCCCCCGCAGGGGGAGGGCAAGGTTTGGCTGAGGGTGTCGCAGCTGAAGTTATCCTCTTTGGTGTAAGTCTCCCCCGCCTGTGTCTGCACTGCTGGCCCCGCGGGCTCGGTGAAATCACATCCCCAAAGCGCACTGTTGCCATTACCCCACCTCAAGGGTAGGGCGGTGTCCCGCATCTGGGGCATCGCCCCCGGCTGGGTTTTGACACACCCAAACAGCTGTGCTTTATCAATTTTAATAAATATACCCCCCAGAGACACAGATCAACCGCTGTGATGAACAGAGTTTGGAAGAAGAAAAAGGACCAAAGGAAGCACTCCCCTGATTTGGGTAGGCATCACCACTCTGGCTGCTCTTGGTTGGCATGCTGAGACCTTCCCTTGTCCTGTTTCAATCTACTTTAATCACTGGTTCAAAGTAGGATCTCCTCCTCCTCCTCAAGCTAGGTTCCACACTTGATGGAAGTTCAGTGCCCCGGCCCTTCAAGATTGCTTTCTCCTTGTTGGTCGGGTGACTGGCTGTCCTGATATTTGGAGCTTTTTCTTTATAGGTAAAGGGTGAAAGTAAGTGTGTGAACCCTGGTGCACAGCTCCTGCAAGAGCTGGCTGACCTGCAGCAAAAGCCAGCAGGGAGCTATTTAAAGAGCTGGCAGGAACCCAGGTTGCAATGGAATAGTACCTGTAAGAAATGTTAAGTTACATTTACTGCTGTGTATAGGCACCTATACCCTCTCTTCCCCCCCTTCACACACACAGCCTCGATCCAATTTTTCACACTTGCGATCTAGTTACCTTACTGCCGCGATACCACTGACTTCCCGAGGAAACTCCAAAACATCAATAATCTTTCTGAAAATACCATCCTAGCCACCATGGATGTAGAAGCCCTTTACACCAACATTCCACACAAAGTCGGATTACAGGCCATCAGGGACACCATCCCCGATAACAACAGTACACACCTGCTTACAAAGCTCTGCGACTTCGTCCTCACCCACAACTACTTCCAATTCAGAAACCATTTCTATCTCCAAATCAGCGGCACATCCTAGGGCACTTGCATGGCACCACAATATGCCAACATCTTTATGGCTAACCTTGAACAACGTTTCCTTAGCTCTCGCCCCCCTAACACTCCTACTTTACTTATGCTACATCGATGGCATTTTCATCATATGGACCCATGGAAAAGACACTCTTGAAGAATTCCACAAGGATTTCAACAACTTCCACCCTACTATCAACCTCAGCCTGGACCAGTCCACAAGGGAAATCCACTTCCTGGACACTACAGTACAGTTAAATAATGGGCAAATTTCCACCATCCTATATCGGAAACCTCCCAATCGCTACACTTACCTTCATGCTTCCAGCTTCCATCCCAGACACATTCTTCAGTCGATTGTATGCAGCCAAGCCCTACGTTACAACCAGATTTGCTCCGACCCCACAGACAGAGAATCACCTACAGGATCTTTACAGAGCATTCCTAAAACTGAAATACCCGCCTGGGGAAGTGAAAAAACAAACTGACAGAGCCAAAAAAACGCAGACATGAACTACTTCAAGACAGACCCAAAAGAGAAAATAACAGAACTCCTCTTGTTACCTACAGTCCACAACTCAATGCTCCTCCAATGCATTATACACAATCTACAACCCATCTTGGAAAATGATCCCTCACTCTCAGAGGCCTTAGGAGAAAAACCTATTCTTGCTTACAGACAACCCCCGAACCTAAAATGTATTCTTTCTGATAACCATGCCACACAACCACATCATAGGCCTTCAGGAAGCCAGCCCTGCAACCAAAAAAAGATGCCAACTCTGCCCACATAACTACACTGGCGAATTCATCATGGAGCAAACAACATAAGCCACAAAATCAAAGGGTCATTTGACTGCACATCCAGTAATTTGATCTACGCCATCAAATGCCAGCAGTACTGCTATAGATACTGGACAAACTGGACGGTCTCTGCGGGAAAGAATCAATGGACACAAATTGGATATATGTAAAGAATATACAGAAGCCTGTTGGTGAGCATTTCAACTTGCCTAATCACAGTCTGACAGACCTGCAAGTAGCTGTCTTATCACAAACAAGCTCTACAAGCCAAATGCACACACTGGAATCCCAGTTCATCCACACGCTAATGGACTTAATTGTGATATGAGCTGGTGGGGACTCTGTCTACTTAATAACCACTGAAGGTGCTAACAGCTCCCTGAGTGGTATCCTTCGTGTTTTAGGAGTCTATCTATTGACTTTGATTTTTATCTGCTTAGGTTTAAGTACCCATTCTCCAGATACTTAATGATGCTCTGTCTCCCCCCCTTTTTTTTCCCCTCTCTTCCCTCTCCTATTTATTTCGAGTTTTCATATCCTCAACTCATAACCCTGGTCATCTGAAGAAGTGGGCTATGCCCACAAAAACTCATGATACCATCTACATGTTTTGTTAGTCTATAAAGTGCTACCAGACCATTTGTTGTTTTTTCTGTAACAGACTAACTTGGCAACCCCCTGAAATAACTTGCTGAGGCTCTCTGGCCTTTTGGCTGCTTAGATCAGCTTTTTTGTGTGTGTGTGTGATATTGTCCCTAGTAAAATCCAGTCTTTATAGTATTTATTCTTGTTCTTTGAGGTATGCCTGAATTAGTGTAATAGTCAACAATGTTGACTTTTAAATTATCATTGTCATTGAGAATCTGAATATCGGAGATGTAAACTGTCCCCACTTAGCTGAATAGGGCTGTTTGCACATACAGACTCTGCAAATTTGGGGCCTGTCTACATTTAAAATGGTACAGCCCAGGGATGGGAAATAAGTGGCTCATGGGCCAGACATGGTTCACCAGGGCTAGCCCTTGGTGGGCCACTGGACACTTTATTTACTTGGATGTCTGCAGGAACAGCCACTCACAGCTTCCATTAGCCATAGATTGCTGTTTCTGGCCAATGGAAGCGGCGATAAGCAACACGGCTGGGAACACCCCTTCCCACAGCACTGATTGACTGGGAACAGTGACTGGCAGCCAATAGGAGCTCTGAGTGGCTGTACCTTCAGACGTGTAGCTAGATAGCATCTGGTGGGCTGCTAGAGGCTAACTCTGGGAACCACATTTGGCCTCGCTTATTGCACACCCCTGTTGTAAATACTACTTACACTGAAGCAAGGAGTTTTTCCATTGATGTAGGTAATACACCTTCCTGAGAGGAAATAGGTAGGTAAAAGAATTCTGTTGAGCTATTGTGGTCTACAGTGTTAAGTGTTAAGCCATGTTCATTATATCATAGATTCATAGATCCATAAGATTGCTTTGAGAACCAGGGCCTAAGTGTTTTAACTGGTTATGTGTGGGTGAACCTGTCCATCCCTACACCCCTCCCATTTCTGCGTCAGTATGAAAACCTATCACTTTTTATTACAATTCACAATCTTGAAGTTAATTTAATTTTTTGCATTAAAAAAGCAAAAAAATTACACATGCAAGTCATAAATTAGTGTATTTTATGTCAGCCTTGCGGACAACAATGTAAAGACAAATAGGTAGTAACCTGCTCATGAACTTTAAACTCTGCTCCACATGAGGTCCTACCTTTACAGCCTAGTTGAGACTGTATTAAATTAGTACCTTGTTTCTTCATTTCTCTCAGAATACCTCAAATTGTTGATTTCCAACAAAGTATTTGTGGCATTCAGCAGTAGATATGTTCTGTGATAAGTAGGGATGTAAACAGGTAACCAGTAAGTATCACCCTTTAATCAGTTAACTGGTTAAACTTAACAGGTTAATTAAGTGGGATTTTACATCCCTAGTAATAGGTTTACATACCCATACCTCTACCAGTGTACTGATTTAGCTTCATCCCTGTAATACCTGCCCTCTCAAACACATAAAAGTACAAGTGACTGTAACAACCGTTTTGTTTTCTCCTCCATACAAGCAGCTCTGGAAGTTGCTCCTCAAAGGTATACAAAAAGGTAAACATAGTAAACTTTTATCCAGAAAAAACATAGTCTATAGCTCTTTATTCCGGCTGACTCAGTGCAACTGGTGGAACGCGCCTCTTACCATCCCGTGGCAACATATTTCTGAGGATGATTATGAGTTGGAGGGCCTGGGAGAAATGTCCTCCCTTGCAGCTATCTATTGCAAAGGACGCTCTGAGAACCGGGACCAGCAGAGATTCAGCGGCGCGCCTGCGTAGTGCGGACAGCTGGGACCATTTTCACTCTCCGAAAGACAAATGGGAGAGCCGTGGAGAACGACGCGCCATGCAAAGGGGGGGGGGGAATTTTCGCAGCGCGAGGGAAGGGGAGAATGGGAGCTGGGTGGCATCGCGCCGGCGCAGCACCCAGGCCCGGGTCATTTTTTTCACACGCGCGGAGATGGGGGAGGATCCGAGTCCCATTGGGAGCTGCTGGGGTGCCTCCTCCAGTCCTCTTCCTCGAGCGCCTGCGGCTCTGAGCGCGGCCGCTACCTCTCGCAGTGAGTCTCGCCTGCACCTCCGTCCCCAGCCCACTGTGCCTCTGAGGTTCTGATTGCCCCGGCTCGGGCTGGCAAGCCGCAGCGATGCTGAGCGCTGTGCTGGGAAGAAGGAGTTTCTCCTGTGTCAGGCGCAGGGGGAGTCTGTGCCCCATTCTTCCTAACAGCAGTAGCTGTCCTGCCTCTCCCCTCTGCCCCAGACCTCTGAGACTCCTCTCCTCACCTAGCAGCAGCAGAGGGGCGCAGGGAAGCTATCTCCAGCCAGGTAGCCACTTCTTTTAAACTCCTACTGTAACAAACCCCTTGCTTTATCTGGCATGGAAACCTCGGTTGCGTCTTAATTCTCAGCGGCATAGCAGGTGTGCAGTGGGGAGCAAAGAAGCCAAAGTCCAGAAGTTTTACTTAAAAGTAGGGAAGAGCAAACGTCTCTTCATCTTATTATTTATGCAATCAAGTGTCCTGGCCTAGTGGTCTTAGTTTAGAAAAACACAAGCTTTTACAGAGCAGGATGTGAAGGGACAACCTGAGGTGTCTTCCAGCTCTATGGTGGGTCTATGGCAATCCAACACAAAGATTTGCTTGGTTGAGATTTATGCTATTCTGAGATGTATCCATCCCCCTAAAGGCTCTGCAAGTACCACACAATGCAAACACTGAAATACAATTGCCTCTAGGACAGTGGACACTTGAGGGAAACTTTGGCTTTTTGAAATGTGATATTTTAGTGTCTGTGGAGGACATGAGACTATGACACTAATAATAATGTGCCTTGCAACTATAGCAAACAAAATTCACGTTGTTGCCCCTCCCCCCAGCATTTTAAGGATGTTTATTTAGTTTTTATTAAGTTTATCTGAAATTGGACTTTATGCTTTGTTTTTGCTGCAGCAATACCAGTTCTATAACTCTTGATTGCAAATGACTTATTTTTTTAAATGAAAATGCACGTCTGGATTTTTCCACACTGGCTGAGGAAGAACACAAAAGTTTCTGCTTCTAATGTAGATTTTCTAGAATGCTCAGTGAATATGTCCAGGTGGGAAGGCCCGGTGTCCTAGAAGAACTACTTACTAACAGCAATGTATAGATAATGTGCTGCACTTCTAGTTCAGTTACTAAAGCTATTTGTTTATTTCCATTTTATGGGTAAACAGTCATTCTGTGGGTCTAGCTTTAGACCTGAGCCTCCTATTATTTAATAAAACTTTCCACTGTTTGGGGATTTTATGATGGATTTACTTACTCCTATACTGTAATCCCTATTTTTAGTTTTAATAAAGAAATCTAACTTCTGGTGGTCATGTAATAAGGGGAACAGATGTCCTCATTTTTTGATCTGTTTGTTTGAAATACCAAATAGAAATATAAGCAGCTGAACTGGAATAATCACTCCTTGTGTAAGTGAGTGCATTGACATTGCATTCACTTACACAAGGAGTGCATGTAGCCACTGGAGGCAATCTACATGAAAGAGAGTATCCTCTGTCATTTTGTGGGGATCCTGATACTCCTCTCTTGCTCTGATGTAGCTCAGAAGTAACTTAATTGAAAATAGTGGTGCAACAGTGGTGTAAAATTGGTGTGAGAGAAAATCAGTCCAGCAGAATGCTTCCTTTTGTCCTCTTTCTCTAGTGGCTGCCTGAATTGAGTAGATATGAACAAAAAAACTTTTCTTAGGAGCAAGATACTTTTTTAAACAAAGGCATCTTCATGCTTAAAAGTAATACAAATCAATTCTACTATGAAATAATGAGTCTTGTTGCACCTTAAAGACTAAGTATCAGAGGGGTAGCCGTGTTAGTCTGAATCTGCAAAAGCGGCGAGGAGTCCTGTGGCACCTTATAGACTAACTGAAGTGTAGGAGCATAAGCTTTTGTGGGCAAAGACCCACTTCATCAGATGCATGTAGTGGAAATTTCCAGAGGCAGGTATAAATATGCAGGCCAGGATCAGGCTGGAGATGACGAGGTGGATCCAATCAAGGAGGATGAGGCCCACTTCTAGCAGCTGATCTGGAGGTGTGAATTCCAAGAGAGCAGAAGCTGCTTTTGTAGTTAGCAAGCCATTCATGGTCTTTGTTTAATCCAGAGTTGATTGTGTCAAACTTGAAGATGAACTGTAGCTCAGCAGTTTCTCTTTGAAGTCTGGTCCTGAAGTTTTTTTGCTGCAGGATGGCTACCTTTAGATCTGCAATTGTGTGTCCAGGAAAATTGAAGTGTTCCCCAAAAGGTTTTGTATGTTGCCATTCCTAATATCAGATTTGTGTCCATTGATTCTTTCACGTAGGGACTGTCCAGTTTGGCCGATGTATATAGCAGTGGGACATTGTTGGCACATGATGGCATATATTACGTTGGTAGATGTGCAGGAGAACGTACCAGTGACAGTATGGCTGATCTGGTTAGGTTCTGTGATAGATGTGCAGGAGAACACCACCACCTTGTCATCTCCAGCCTGATCCTGGCCTGAATATTTATCCCTGCCTCTGGACATTTCCACTACATGCATCTGACGAAGTGGGTCTTTGCCCACGAAAGCTTATGCTCCTACACTTCAGTTAGTCTATAAGGTGCCACAGGACTCCTCGCCGCTCTTAAAGACTAACAAATTTATTTGGGCTAGGGATGTGAGTGGGTAACCAGTTAACTGTTACCTGGGAGCAGCTTTCTGTTTGCGGCCAGGGTGGGATCCGGTTGCCACTTCTGGCTCTGCGCTGGGAATCGGCACCCTCACCCAGGGCTGGAGCAGACCCTGCCCATCCCCATTTTAATTAGTTAATTGGTTAAATTTAACATTTAACTGGTTAATTAATTAAATGGATTTTTACATGCCTAATTTTGGCATAAGCTTTCATGGACTGGAGCTCACTTTGTCAGAGGCGTGAAAGTGGACTCCAACCCACAAAAGCTTATACCCAAATATATGTGTTAGTCCTTAAGGTGCCACAGGACTCCTTGTTATTTTGTGCTGAAACAGACTAACACGGCTACTCTTTCTGATTCAATGAAATAGCTTCAGGTTTTCTTTTTGTTAATGTTGTTTTAAGATGTGTTTACACAGCCTATGTAAAATGTACTAAACATAACGTGGGAGACTCTTCAGTTCAAAATGCCTTCAAAGTCTAAAAATTTTGGGTGGGCATGGTTTTTTTATTTGTATTTTTTTGTCAATCAGAGCAACTTCCAATAGAGATGCATGTGTTTGTCCAGTTTATTACAGGGCTAAACAAATCTGCAAGTATGGTAAAGTTACACCTGGAAGTTTTGCACTAGGTTTAATTCAATAAAAAGAGAAGTTGGGACTATGTGGTTTCCTTAAGAAATCAGTAACCAGCTCAGAAGATGATGAAGATGGGCAATGACGCTGGGATTAGTAGGACTCAGGAAATGATTTTGGCAGTTTTGACTCCCACGTTCATATGTTATTTCTGGTGATCTAATGGGCATGAGCTTTGTATTATGTAAAACTAGTCTGCAGCTCATTGGCTAACTATCAGAAAGCACAATAGGCTTGATGTAAATTCAGAGATGATTAGGCCAGAGTAGTTCTGCTTGCTAGCATTGTATGTTTCAGTAGGGCATAGTGTTGTTTCTGAGACTTCTGAACCACACTTTTGATCTGTCGTCCACAGACTTCCCTCTCATATCTATTTCTCTATCACTGGGACAATATCACTATGCAACTTCCCAACAGATTACTTCTCCTGCAAATACTGCTGCACTTCCTCCTACGTTGCTTCCTGCCCAGTGGAACCATGGTCCTTAATTGATAATACCATCATATAAATGTTATGATAATAAGCAGGGACACCGCCTCATGTTAATTATGGCTTTATGTAAATGCATACATTACAGGGGAAAGCTAAATACATTGCAGACTTACCTTAGAAGCCTGGGATGATTCCTGAAGGGTGTCTGGCAACCCCAGCTAGAGAACTTCAATTGGAAATCTGCTATTGCTGGGTAGTATATGTATGAGAAAGGAAGAGAATCAGGCTCTAGGCTACATATGGTCTTTGGGATAGTAACAAGATTGCGAGCTTTGGAGAGGATGGAAAGAAAAAGGGAGTTGGACTGGAGAAAGGTAGGCCTTTCATCTTCTGCAGTTGTGTTCTTCTGTAGGACCCTGATTCAGCACTTAAAACACCATGTAAACAACATATGCTTACTGGTAAGCACAAGAGTAGTCAGTCTTAATGAAGTAAGTGGGACAATTGAGCTGCTTAAAGTTAAGCAAATGCTTAAATTATGCTCATCTGGGGTCTGAGTGAGTTTACCGATGGGGGGCTGATAAAGCACCATCAAGCTATGTTGGCTTTATTAAGGTTGTACAACCAAATATTTTACATTGATATCCAACATAATTCCTAGTACAGTAGACTTCCGATAATCCGGAACCTTTGGGACCTAGGTGGTGCCGGATTATCGGATATGCCGGACTATCAGGAGGTACTATAATGATGGTTACATATATATATATATAATGTATACAGTAAAGTGTTCTTAACCCTTTTATTGTACATACTGTATACAGTATACTGTGATGTTTTAGTTTTTTAACCCTTTTTTACCCTTTTCGCTTGGTTCAGCTGCTGCTGCTGTTGCCTTGTGACTCGTTTTTTGCCGAAGCTCACTCACTAGGCTCTTGCCATTTTTATGCCGGACTATCAGGAGTGCCGGACAATTGGTTGCCGGACTATTGGAGTTTTACTGTAGCTATTTTCCAACCTCACCAGTGTTTACAGTGAAATGTGAGAGTACTTAACTTCTGTGAATGGTTTAAGAAGTGCAAACCAACTCCTATAATATTTTGCTACCTCATAAGGATGTTGGGAAGAGGCGGTGTATTTAATATTTGTGAGATGTTCAGATATGCTAGTGATGAATCCCATAGAAATTTCAATAAATAAATGAAACATAATCAGACCTCTGCTAAAAGTAGAAAGGTTACATAGCACTAGCCAGGAGGAACTCATCTTTACTCATGTACTTATTCAGACAAGGGGAAACGACATAAAGCATGAGACAAATATTTAGACAGATTTTTAAAAAATGCTCACTAGTCTGATTATCACACTTTCCCATGGCAACAAATCACCCAAATCCCTCTGGAGAGATTGGTGGTAATTGGGGAAAATATCGTGCAAGTGCAGAAGGGGGAGAGGACACTCTTTTTTTTTTTTTGAGTGCCATGCGGTGAATTAAAATATTTGTTCAGGGGCCTTAAACTCCCAACCCATCCTAATACTTTGCAACTGATGGCTAGAGAGTGAGACAGTCTTACAATGCACTCTCTTCAGATTTATATCTTTTCCCATTGTTTGAAAAAGTTCAATAGTAAAGATGAGTTCCTCCTGGCTACTGCTATGTAACCTTTCTAGTTTTAGCAGCAGTCTGATTTATATTTTTTATTTGTTTATTGAAATTACTGTGGGATTTATCAGTACAGTATTTGAACATCTCATAGATACTAAATAACTAGAAAATTTACCTGGCATTGCTTGAGTCCTTAACTCAAATATGTTTTTATTTAAATAATTTAAATAATTTTTCTGGGGTGGGGCTGTGCTCAAATATGTTTTGCTTTTCTTCATTTAAATAATTTTTCTGGGGTGGGGCTGTGGGTGTCAGTATGCTGGCTCACCAGGAGAGAGGACAACCCCAGCTCTCTCTCACTGCAGCAGCTTGGATCCATGTGAAGAGCCCTTGTCCATGGATGCTGCAGCAGGCACAGCTGGGGGAAGGGTGTATGTTTCCTAGCAGAGGGACAGAACAGGCACAGCTACACAAACAGACAAACTTTGTAGATAGCTGTCCCTTTCTCTACCACTGCCCCCTGCTGGCCCAGTGGGGTTATAGCTGTCCTGGTCCCCATCTCTGTCCTCTTGCTGCTCCCTTGTAGTCATTCTGTAGTATAGTTATACTGTCTCCCCTGCCAGATCCCTCCCTTTCCATTTTATAAGAAACAATCAGATTCCAGGCACATCCTATTGTCCTGGCACAACCACTCCCTTGCTTTGCTTTAACTTATGATAAGAGGAAGCTGCATGCCAAATTTGGTGGTCCTAGCTCTTATTGTTTAGGAGGAGTTCTTGAACAAATGGACTCACAAAGGGGCAAACAGACAGAGGCATGTTTCTAAAATACTCAGGAAGATACCCCTGTCAATAGTGGTGGCAACCTGTGGCCATTGGTCACATCCAGTCCATTGGGTTTCAATATATGGCCTGTGAGACACTTTGTTTCCTCTTGCCCATAGTCAGGGTTGCCATATTCTGCTGGTTTCTGTTCACATTGTTTTTTTCCTACTGGTATTATTAAAGTGACACACACACAAAGCAAGGGCCCCGGAAGCGAGGGGTGAGCTCATTGCACTGAACATTGACTGGAAGAGCCCTGTGTTCCCTCTGCATCCAATCAAAGCACTGCTACCACGGATTCTAGGTACACAAGTGCTGTTAGTAAAATTACTCTATTTCAGGAGACAGTCTTGGTTACAACAATCTTGCAGCACATTGAGATTAGGAATGTGAAAGTGTAACCATGTACAGGGTTAATCGATGAGTCTGGGCTCACTTGTTAACCTTCACAGTCACATGCAGGATCTCGATGAGTCTGGGCTCACTAGTTAACCTTCACAGTCACATGCAGGATCCCCATGCTCCCGAGGAGCCGACTGCTGCTGTGCGTGTAACTTTAACTGGTGAAATTTTAACATCCCTAATTGAGATGGACAACCACTCATGCGGCCCACTCAGTCTAAATTGCCCATTGCTGCCTCACAACATCCCTTTTTGTACTGTAGCAAACTATTATTAGCCACCATTTTACAGAGCGGTTAAGTGAAGTGCTCAAGATCACCCAGGAGAGCCGTGGACACCTGTGACCTAGGTGGCAAGTCTGTTACCTCCTCTTGGGTTTTAATATCTTTCATATAGTTTTCAGTGATGGTCATGGTTGAGAAGGAAGGAAAAACATATATAGATCAATTTCTTGAACATATAGTTATCAGGAGTGCTGTCAGACAGAACAAATATTTTGAACTCGTCTGCTTCAGTTTTCAAGTGCTTTTTAAAATGTGAAGAGACAGTTTTTGTGTGTGTGTTTTAAGTGCTGACCCTACTTTTGATTGTCAGCAGAGGTCAAACCACTCTGCAGCTGGGGAGTCTTTACTTCACATCAGTCTGTTATCCATTAGTTTTAATTCATATATCTTCTTGACACTGACTGCTATGAGTTTATTGGCTCTTTCTACAGGCTGCTGCCTATAAGTTTAATGTCTGTGTATGTATATATGTAACAGGCATATTTAAAAATAGCAAACAACAGTATACTGTAGCATTATAAGGGGTTTAAAAAGGCTGTACAATACTAATAATTTATTTGGCATTTTACAAATGATAACTGACTTTATATACCTGAAGCTAGTGTTATCCCCGTTTTAAGCATGGGCACAACAAAGCAGAGAATGATATAGAAAATTTTTCAAACTTCCAGGGAGAAACAATCTCCTTAGTAAAAGAGATTCATAAGTAAAATATTGTTTTTGCTTTCTTACCAGATGCTAATAATGTGAAACCACTGGAAGGTGTGAAAATTCTTGATCTAACAAGGTTTGTGTTTGCTCTTTGAAGTTCAGAAATAGTTTTCTGAAATTGAAATGCTGTGGCAGAACTACTACAAACATCCACTGCTTTTTCCATATTTCAGGGTACTTGCAGGACCCTTCGCAACAATGAATTTAGGAGACCTAGGAGCAGAAATTATTAAAGTGGAAAAACCAGGTAAGGTTTCTAATCAGAATGAGAATCAGTTTAAACATTATTTGTCTATGTGCTTTTGAATAGTTTTTTTTCCTCTGTCATGATTTAAGGGGTATCCTGCAATCCTCGGGGGCACTTTAATTTACAGTCAAGATCCATTAGAGTTTTGGGGAGTAGGGATGTCAACGTGTAGTCGACTAAATGATTATCCAATAACCTAGGCGGAGCAGGAGCTGGAGGGTACTGGCTTAAAAGTTGTTTTTCCTCAGCACTGGCTTTTTGGTGCTGCCTGCCCCCTCCCCCACGCTGCTGCCTCTATCAAATAAGGTGAGGGGGGCTAGGGGAGGCTTCCTAGGCCTGCTGTGTATAGAGTCTGGTCTCCAGCAGCAGTCCCTGTCTGCAGGGGTTCCAAGCTCCCCACGGACAGAGGCTGCTGCTCAGGACTGTCCTGAGGTATTCTGGCACCCCGGGCACGGGCATGTGGTGCCGCTCCTGGGTGCGCGGCACATGCGCGGCCCAGCTACGGCCGCTGGCGC